CAACCTTAGAAATTGAAATTTCTGGTTTTTCATAACCAAAGAAACACAATTGAATAATAATTTGGTGAATACCGTTGAATTGCAAATGCTTGAGGGCTACAAGAATCATTTGTGAACAAACTACAATATCACCCCCTAAGTTTTTGTAAGTTATTGAAATCTTAATTGTAGTCTAAGACGAATTAATTTTTATATTTCTCATATTACCTTTTGTAGTTATGCCATATTAAAAGTGTCACTTTTCTCATTTTTAATTTAATTAATGTTAGCTTAGTTTAAAGAAAGTTAATTCCTTTTTCCTTCTCTTTGGACAAAGTGATTGTATCACAATAATATTTTAGTCAATTTTTTTAAAAAGAAAAACTAATTTTATTAAATTTTTTGACAGGAAATAAGAAGGTAAAAAAAAAAAAAAAGTTAAATTTTATATAATGCTAAATTTGTTTCATTTATGATAAATAATAATTTTAGTCTAATTTTGTGAACTAAAGAAAATATCATTAAGAAATTTGATTTTTAGTAGATTTTAATAAAAATGATGAAGTTTATGATTGAAAAGTTGTTATCTCATTAAATATGTAATTGAAAATAATTTTTAATTTTGACTTAGATTTTAATAATCTTTTTTAGCTGAACCAAACATGGGATAAATTCAACTATATAAATTGAACTTTAATATCCTATTTCCAAACAAAATATATTTAACATTTCAGATAACTTTACTATGGTTTTGCCATAATTTTTTAAGGAAAAAAGGTTGCTACTTAATTTTCAAGTTTCGTTTTCTGAAAAATATGTTGTTTCAACCTTTTTTATTTTTATTAATTAATATTTTATTCGAAACTTAAAACTAAGTTGAATTGATTGTAATTATCATCTTTCTCACCCATACGCATATAATTTGTGTTTCCAGTCACTTACTAAATTTTTAACGCTCCCGTAATCTTATATTATCAATTAGAAAACAACTAAATCACTATTCCCATGAAATCCAATTATTTTATGCATTTATCAAATGTCTACAATTAAAATAATGTCATAATAAAGGTTACTAGAATTAATTAGGCACATGTTATGGGTAGATTAAAACTTGATAAAAACAAATATCGCAACAAAATCTAAGAATCAATAGCGTCTCCAACACTAATGTTGTGACGCCCCGAACTTAAGCTTCGAGGGCCACGTACTTTACATAATAACTTTTGCCTTTGGTACATGTAAATATTCTTAAATAGAAATATTACATGTTAAAAACTTATTTTTTATAAAACTTTATGGCCGATAAAAGTGCATGCCAACATGAAGTTTATACATTGTAAATACGACCTCGGCGCTGTCAAGATTAGTTGAGGCAGCAAGTTTGACATTTTTTATAAAATTCATCCCAACTCCGTTTTACATGAAATTTGCGGCATTAGAAAGATAATTTCAAGAAGTTTTCTAGGTTAAAATATGAAAATTTTCCAAGATCATATGATATAGACGTTTTACTGAAAACAGTGAAGTATTACACAGGAAAATCCAGATTGACCCCTTGACGTTAAAACCTTGATAACTCAGGCCATGGGTATTCAAATAGAGTGATTCCTTCGGCCATATTTAGAAAACTCAAAGGGGAAAACAGACATATTTTTAGAATCTCAAATGGACTTTTATAGATTTAGAAAACATCATTTTGAAATTGACTCCAGAAACTGTCTCGTTTCTGCCTTTTGTCTCTTGCAAAGGAAATAAACTACAAAAATATCTCTTAACATAACATGAAGGATATAGTTACAACATTTGATATTAATACCATAATACATCATGTCATGTACATATTTGTACATAATACCATAAGAAAAATAGATGGAAAAAAACTGTCATCGAACAAAACACACAAAATAAAACTTTCGGTACAAAACTTCGTTGTCCTTAATCCATCATCGCTTAAGCCAACTAACTTCCATCAATTCAAATGATCATGGATCTGAAAATTTAGCATAACATACTATGAGTATAAGAAATACTCAGTAAGATACCATGCTTGGATTTTTATCATGATAATACCACACAAAAGAATACAATCAAACCCATACTTGCATATTCCGGCTTGCCGGTGCCCTTCGGACTTGTCCTAAGGCATAAATAGATATCTAAATTTGTGGACTTGTCCACCATAATCATATTATGGTTTTTCATGCATAACTTAAGCATAAATATTACCATGAAAATCATAACTCTTAAGCATGAAAGTATCTTACCGTAAAACTTGATGATCTTTGTTTGAAAAGTAAGTTGAAAGTGTTAAGCTCACTTCTTTTCTTCCTTCCTTAAATTTCGGTTTTTGGCTCTCTTTTCAAATGTA